AGCTATGCTTTTCTATTTTTAAACCCTGTGCAGCCCAAGATTATCATATACATCTTCATGTATTTTAAACAGCAAATGAACATACAGTTACTCTAGTTGCAGGATTTATGCAGATCCTTAAGAGTCTGTAAAGTAATAATAGTCATTATAATAACACAATCCTGCTCTGAAATCAGTTTTATAAATGTTTTTATTTTATTTTTTATGTCCACCCATGAATTTATGAAGATAAAATAATTATCAAGTTAAGTTTAGACATTTGAAGCTACTTCATCATCCACTGTTTTGACAACAGACCAGTTTAGTTTGTGGTTTCGTCTGCGTGTTTGCCAGATAATGGACGAGGCCGACCGGCTGTTGGAGCAGGGTTGCACTGACTTCACCAAAGACCTGGAGACGATCATGGGGATTTTACCTGCTAAACGTCAGACACTGCTGTTCAGCGCCACCCTCACTGACACCCTGCAGGAGCTGAAGAAAATCGCCATGAACCAACCTTACTTCTGGGAGAGCAAGTCAGAGTGAGTAACCCACTGCTGATTAAAGGCTGTTTAGTAGTCAGGGAGAAGATAGACAGACAATACAGGTTTAATTTTAATTTGAAACTTTGTGTGCAGTAGGAATGGGAATGGAAAACCAGTTCTAGATTGTCTGATCCATCGGAATCACAAGCCACAAGCTTATTCATTTCTTTTATCAGTGCTAGCATGTTTTTTTGACAGTTTCTGTCACACTCATGCATCTACGCTGCTGGAAACTTGGCACAAGAAGGAGTCATGGTAGAGAGGAAGAAATGATGATCCAAAGCATGGCTTCATTTCAAGAAACTCAAACTACTATAACTCTACTCTTTTTCTATAGTGTTCAGACTCAGAGACAGTTGCATTGCTGTTGAAAACCTGTATATACCTATAAGACTTTGATCAGGAACCAATAAACAGAATCGATAATGATATCGGTACCAATAAAATCGTATAATTCCCCATCTCTAGCGTGCAGAGGAGGATTTGTATGTATCAGCCCCTTTTATTTCAAGGTGGAAGAAAACACTCAAGACTAGATTTATTAAAGCCTCTGTGCCTCATTTCAGATGCATTCTGTGCGTGTTATTTATAAAACCGGAGCACCAGCGTGAAAGATCAGTTTGCCTATCATCTGATCTGAGGTGCAACTAATCGCTGAACTGCATCTCTCACACAAATGCCTTTTGCATGCAGGGTAGAGTCATGCAAATAATTCGAGCAGAAGTGTTAAGTGCGGTTGAATGAGTATCCTGCTGGAACGCTCAGACCATTTGCAGAAAGCAGCTACAGACTCATGCAGGTGTATTCAAATGTCGTGATGTGGAACAGGAAATGTAACACCAGAGACGGCCGATTCAAAATGGGTGCAGAATAAAATGGTATCACTTCAGAGCAGGAACTTTTTGCTTCTGTGGTCGTTACACTTATCCTCAGAATTGGACATCCAGTCAGCTGATGCACTCGTTCATTCCTTGTTTTCATCTTGGTTGGCCTTTACATGTTTACACTTACAAGTGCAGATTTCCACTTGTTCTCTGCAGCTGAATATGAAGTAACGTTCAAATCCTCCTTGCACAAACTTCTTGTGAATACCAGCTCCAGGGTTGCGGGTTCTGACCTCTCTGGCAACAGAAACTCTATAGGGGGACCAAGAAATAACCCGTTATTGTTGTTCACAGGACACGAACGGTGGAGGAGCTGGACCAGAGGTACATCCTCACTCCAGAGAAGGTGAAGGACGCCTACCTGGTCCACCTGATCCAGACGTTCACTGACCAGCATGACGACTGGTCCATCATCATCTTCACCAATACGTGCAAGTAAGAAGTCAAGTATTCATTGCATGCCTGTACAATATTGAGCATGGTGGTGACCTTAAGCGGTGCTAGTTTTCTAAAGTAGCCTTTATAAGACGTATAATGTTAATAATTAGAGGGAGTTTGCCTTTAAGGTGTTGAGTGTCTTTTATTGTTAAATAGATAAATATATTTAGCCTACAAGCTAGCTTAAGCTTTTATGTCTTTGAAACTTGAACCTGAGTGTGATCAGTAGCCAGTTCTTTGTACATGTTAATGTTAAAATCATGAATAATAAAATCATTTGCTTGTTTTTCTTCATTCTTCCTCAGGAACTGCCAAATCATCACCATGATGCTGCGAGAATTTAACTTTCCAACCATCTCCCTGCACTCCATGATGAAACAGGTCAGAGTCTAGTGCAATTTAGAAACTTTATATTTACAGTCCACCAGGTCACCAGCTGCTAGTATATCAGCAAGTATGTTTCAAGCCTGCTGAAGGCCATTTTTTAAGGTTATGAGGGAGAGGCGACCATTCTGGGGAAATGACAGCTGAAGGATAGTCTGTGTCAGTCAGTTTTATTGGTTTAGACACACAAAGAATGTGAGTTTGCTTTGTGTGAGAGAAAGGTGAGAACATGGTGATGTGTCCTTTATCACCAATCTTCAGAGCTCCTCCACTAGCTCGTGTTGGATGTGGAAAATGTATTCATCTCATTAAAGGGACAAAGACAGAAACGTACAGTGAGCACAAAGCCATTGTGATGATGTAGAAATGAGCGAGTGAAAGGGATTAAAGCAGATTAAACCACATGAATGGGCCTGCAGAATGAACGGCTGCTCTTTATCTTCTCCAGAAACAACGATTCGCAAACCTTGCCAAGTTCAAGGCCAGCGTCTACAAAATCCTGATTGCAACAGACGTGGCTGCCAGGTAAGGAGCTCCGCTGAGCCGCTGCATGTCTCAGGGATGATGATGAAAATGATGAGGATGGTCTTTCACAAATTTAGTTAGCAAAATCATCTGTAAAGTCTTTGTAAAGTTGTCACACAGAGACTATAGGAGTTAGACAGATATAGACAGGCTGAGGTCACCTTGTTTTGACATCCTTCCTCTTCTGTCTGACTCACAGAGGTTTGGATATTCCGACCGTGCAGGTTGTCATCAACCACAACACCCCAGGCATTCCCAAGATTTACATACACAGAGTCGGACGAACAGCAAGAGCAGGTAACCTTGAACAACTTTTTTTCAGTACCAACGTCCTCCCCCATCAATGACTTCATGACACATCTTAAATAAAGGCAGCTCATACATGATGTTTTCTTCCTCTGCAGGGAGGAACGGCGTGTCCATCACACTGGTGACACAGTACGACATCCACCTGGTCCACTCCATCGAAGAACAGACTCGTAAGTTACTTATAAAGCCTGAATTAAAGGGAACATAGGGAAATGTTCCGCCGACTTGTCCTTAGTGTGCATCTTCACAGCTCGACTACAACTACCTTCTGACCTGCCAGCTAGCTCCTCTTGTGTGTGTTTAATACTGTTTATTTGGCCTTCATCACAAAAGAGAAGAGGACTGGAAAGCCTTAGACAGGATGTTAAGTGATATCCAGACTGAGACAGATATTTCTCAGTTCACCATCGACAGTGTGAAAGTGTGGTGTAACTCCACAAACTGTCTGTTGTGTTGATACAGAAACGAAGCTGAAGGAGTATCCTGTGGAGGAGAAAGAAGTCCTGAAGATCCTCACCCAGGTCAACGTGACCAGACGGGAGTGTGAAATAGTACGGAGGCCTCTATTCTTCATATTCAGTCATTAGCTCAACTCTTGGTAGTTAAGTGCACAACACTTAGTGTTAATTGAATCTGGGACTACTTTTTTATGATGCATTTGATCCAGTAGTTCCTTTGTCAACATATAATTTTTCAGTCATGGCTGTCTGTTTCTGACTGTACTCTAAAATGATGGTGAACTCTCTCTATTGTAGAAACTCGAGTCGACAGACTTTGATGAGAAAAAGGAGATCAACAAGAGGAAACAGCTGATCTTGGAGGGAAAGGTACGTTTCTTTTTTTAGCAGCTAAACATTTGAACACATTTAAGGTAAGTTTATTGTCTGAACACTACTAAGATGAAGCAACGAGAGGTTTTTCATAGAGAGAAACTAATGTGCAACTGTAAATGTATGTTTAAGGTTTTTGGACGGATGTGGTAAAAATTATAGGAAAAAAGTTTCATCATTCAATTAATTGCTAGCAAACCCAACCCTGAGATTTTAAGTCCACAGCAGTATTTTAGGTTTAGTGCGCAGCAGGTCAGCGGAACATGAAAAAAAGGTACAAATCGTCAACAGGAAAACGTATAGATTAAGTTTCAGTTCTTCCAAGGAAATTTCGGCAACAAAAATCAAATTATTCCCAACAATCAGTTCCAGCGTCGTTGTATCCCAGGACCTCCGGAAAAT